CGCATCCGCACCTTTGCGCATAGGTGGTCGGGGAGCACTACGAACTCCTGCATCGTCCCCTTGAGGCTTCCCTTGCGCTGTTCGAATTCATACACGCTAAACGCGATAACCTGTAAAGAAAACAGTTAACGCGGGGATACGCGCCACAGGGAGATACACGCACCCTATCTCCTACTGCGAGCGCGGCGACGCCGTCACCAACCTCTTGCACCACCCCCGAGGCATTGAACCCCATGCCGACTGGATACTGGGCAACGCGGTACCCCCCATCCGTAACATAAGTGTCGAACGCAATGAGCGAGGCGTATGCGACTTTAATAAGGACGTGCCCCGCACCCGGCTTCTCCGTCTCAACCTGGATGGCGTCGATCTGGCCTTTGGCAAGGGCGGCAATCGCGGTGTGCGCCGGCATTTTGCTGGTTTTTATTGAAATGGTCTTGATAAATCGTAAATTTCAGTGGGTTTTTTGTTCTAGGAGAAGCGTCGTATTTAAGTCGTTGCATTGGCTCTTCAGGAAGGCGCGCAGCTGGTCGGTAATCTACGCGGAGACTTGACCGAGCAGAAATGAGCAGAAATATCGCCTTAGTAAGACGGAGAAGAGCGGAAAGAAGCGCAGGAAGTCGCGCCGAAGCCGTGTAGGCCGTTTAGCGAACTACTACAGGCGGTGAATTAATCTCTAGGATAGAAAGACATCTTTGAGGCTTCGCAAGAAGATCAAGGTGGAACCACGTCCACGGTCTCAAGCGTAGTGATGTCGAAACGTGTTTGCAAAGCCCCGGTCAGCACCAGATACATCTAATGTTGGTAGTCCTCAAGAGAACCGTCTTCTCCAGAAGTTGCAGAAAGAAAAATTGCAAATGGCGGCGAGAGACAGGTGAAAGAGAAAGAGGTACATAGCTGTCTGACATGAAACGCGCTGGAGAATGCATGGAAAGCGTGCGTGCGATTACAATTAGGTCTAAGTACGATGGAATTACAGTGCTGTAGTATAATCATAGCTGGAAAACAAGACAACTGCAAGAGAATAGGAGCGGACAGGAATCACTCGACGGAGGCATCACCGCCCTGAATCATCTCACGCACGAGGAGGTCCATCTGGCGCGTCTCAAGAATGCGCCGCAGGCGCTCGACCATTTCGGGCTTGGTGCCGCCCGCGATAACGGCGGCATTGCGCTCGGCGTGTGCGGCGAGGTTGCGCTTGAGTGCCGCGGCGGAGAGCTCGGGCACGACCGCGACGTTGTCGATGAGCGGGGGCTTGGGGTCGACGAGGTAGTGCGCGGACATGTCTGGAGCATGGTTAGTTGTAACGGGAATGAGTAAGAGAGCCAGCCGCGCACTGTCGATGTAGTGGTCGCACGCCGAGGGGATCTCGATGTCGATGACGCGGCGGTCGTCGAAGATGGTTTGAGCGAGGCGGCGGAGACCTGGCATGTCGATGCTGGTGTCGAGGATGGTGAGAAACGTGAGCTTGGAGAGCAATAGGATAGCGGGGACAGCGTCGTCGTCGATGTGCGGGTTGGTCGCGATTGAGAGCTGGTGAAGGGAGCGCCTGAGAGCCACAAGATTATAGATACTACACAGTAACACGTCAGCGGATGCGGAGGGAACGGGCATGATTGTTACGAACGCTTCGTTTCCGATGCCAGTGTTGTTTAGGAGCAGGTGTGCGAGCCTCGGAAGGTGCTGTATGTGGACAAGATCATGGTCCAGAACGCGAGTACCACTGAAGGAGAGCTCGGACAAGAATAGAAAGCTGTTGGGTTTGCTGAAAACTACGGACAGAGTAGCAGGTCAGACGTTGGTTATATTGCATAGAGCGGTGCGCACCAGGGAGGATGCCCTTTCCGGCGAGATTCAGTCCGTCTTCGTCGCCCATAGACTCCGCCAGTGCTAGCCGCCAGATCTCTGAAGTCCGAAGGATCGTTACGACACGAACATTGAGAAGACCTGGCGCAAATCAGACCCCGAAGGCGCATATATGCAGGTGTACATACCGTTTTCGCCGAGAAAATCAGCGATTGCTTGATGGCTCAACTCAGATAGCTTCGACAGTCGTTCTTGGAGGCGTATGCCAGGCATGAGAGCATCAAGACGTTGGATAAGGGGCTTGATGCCGCGAGGGGACTCCGTGCCGATGGGTGGACCGTAGAGTTGGTCTATGCATGGATATATGCGCATGTATGCTGGTAGAATTTCGGTCTACGATACCTTCGAGGCTCCGAACCTTGGCCTTCAAGTCGTCCGTGAGGGAAGTCTTTGAGGCTGGTTGCTTCGGCAGCGCGAGAGGCGAATATTGCGGCTTTTGAGGGAAATACTGAATCCGTTCTCGTCTGGCGCTGAATTCGAAAGAGCTTTCGTGAACAGATTGGACGGAGCGCGCATATTTGGGAGGGCCATCTAGGTCACTGAAGGAAGAACGTTTTCGTTTGCGAGAAGTCTTCTTCTCAGTGCGATGCTCGAGGGAGATGGTCAAGTTTTCGCGAAGGGTGTAGGACGACGGGAGGGTGGATTCATCATCGGACTGCGAGAGATCGCGGAACGGGTCGCGTTCTCCTTCTTGAAGAGCTTTGTCGAGGATTTGAGCGAATGAAGAGAGCTTCCTGTCGGGTTGGAGCTGAGTTTGAGCGCGAGAGTTGCGGCGGCGGACTTGACGTCGGAGGGAGCTAAGATACGAGGAAGCGGTGATAGCAGGACAATAGAGAGGATTATTCTCGTCGATTACGGGTAGTGTATAGGTTGGCATGGATTAACGAGATGGTGGTAAGAGGTAAGATATCTGGTGAGAAGTCACGCTGGGTCTGGCCAATGGCTCCTTCCAAGCTCCTTCATCGTTGCTCCGCCACTCAAGCTTGACAGACGCACTCAAGGCCTCTGTTGTCCCAGATACTTCGTGCTTGTAATGCTTTAGATCTATTCACAAAGGCGCCTCGTCTTTTTCTCGTCTTGAAGCCACCTTCAAGTTATCATATACTTCAAGTTTTTCCTCCGTTGTTTTCTCAGCCCATCCAAGCCCATCGCGTCCGATGCACTTCTTGACGGGACCGTCCCTAGGCTCTTGAGATCCAGCAAACGGACCTGGTTCGGCTGGATGACGCCATGGCCAGTACTTGAGCGAGCGAGTATGTATTCGTTCGCTTTCTGAGCCAATAATTGAACCGCTCCAACGCCCCTTACACAGACACAAAGAAGTGGATACGTGAACGCTTGTACGTGTCCACCCAATTTTTCTGGTGGGAACAAGGCTGCAAAGCCCTCCAAGTTGATCGAAAGGCTTCAAGCCAATCGTGTAATCTCATCGCGGACTGGAAGAAGTCGCCGTTGTTGCGCGCCCACAGAAAACCAACTCCTCCGAGTCTTTGTGCTTCTCGAGCTCGAGCCCGTGCAGCAGATCGTAAACCTTCGCGCGTCTTTTCTGCAACTTCCGCATGCTGATGAATGTCGTAGAGCAGGACGTGAACGAGCTCATGTGTGAGGGTGCTTTGTCAGAAACTTTTGCGTTGCTGTTTGCGAACCAGCTCGGCGCGAGCAGGATTGGGTGCCAACTGGTCCGTGCGCTACTTATTCTCCTTAACCTTTGTTGATCCTCTTTGCGCCTCCGCAGCCGATTCTACTCTTGCTCCTAGTCAGCGCCTTCAAGCTGGAGGCAGCAGTGACACGCCGAAATTCGTGCCCAATTCGGTCGGCATCGATCCCCTTATGTGCTTAACTACGGGTCTGCACAGTGCAAGGGGGTCAGGCCCATCATGGTCCAGGGGACGGTGCGCCGCAAGCGAAGCATGGCCGCGTGGGCTCCTGGCGTCAACAAGGTCGTTTTCTTTTCTTTCCTTGCTTACGGCCGGCTGCTAACCGTCCTAAGCAGTGGGATACGGAAGGACGACGAGGATTACCTCCGACCGTCGTCTACAAGGACTCAGTCGAGATAAACCCCACGCCTCCTCGATGTTCATGTCACAATGATACTCCGGAATTCACAGATCTGACGGCCAACCCTCGACGAGGATGGAAAGAATGTTCCCATGCTCCCTGGTGGGCTTAGTTCTGCACAATGTAACCCAACCTGAGCTAGCATTCCACCCTTGTCCAGGCTGTCGTCCAATGGTACTTGCGTTCGAAACTCTCATCTTGTCTACCTCCACTATCCCCTGATCCTCCTCGTATCCCTGCGTGCGTGGATACCCCGCCTTCGGCTCAAATCGTTTTACAATCGTTATGTAACTGAGATATTGGTTGGCCAGAATCTCGTTATTGTAGGCAGAATTATAATGTGATTATCCCTTTACGTGGCCTTCAAGATTGGTTGCGTAAGTATGTACTACCCCTTGGTTCAGGAAATATTCTTTCGGTCGAGATTAGAAGCGTCGCACTAGCAGTCTTTCATCGACATCATTGTGTTGTAGTCATCGTCAAAGGCGGAGGACCCAAGAAACACTAAAAAGTGAATCGGGTACTTCCGTATCGGCAAGGTAAGATAAAAAAAGAAGTCCGAATATTATGTATGGGTAATGTGCAATCCACGCATTCAGGCTCGGGAACGATTGAAGGCAGGGTAATCTGTTGAATTTTGGTCGATTTATTGGATTGTCATCTTCGGTTTTTGAGCTGTTGAAATGAACAAGATAAAACAAGGTGGACTTCAATCCTCCTATGAAACACACAATCACGGGAGAAGGCCCACGGCTCTTCATCAGAAGGAATGGAACCTCCGGCGTTCAACTGCAGTGCCTCAACCGTGGACGCTTTTGGCGTTCATCAAACATCGCATCAATGATTGATTCCCCGTGGGGTAAACAAGAACGTTCGTTGGTGCGGTGGATGAATGCCTAAGTAGTTCCAAGTCCAGATGTTTGCGGTTGAACGCTTTACACGAGACAACCTGAAAAAGAAAAGAAAAAACCCAGTGTTGAAAGCCAGCATTGCAGAGGTAGACCACGTCCTGACTTTCTCGCGAGCGCTCACTTCTTGGACTCGGGGTCGTTTCCCGGGCTCGGCAACCTTAAACATGCCACTAAGAGGATTCGAACCTCCGACCTCCGAATCGCCGAAATTGATCGGGATGGATGGTTTAACCACTGAACCATAGTGGGCACGATGCACGACAATAAGCTTGTAACTAAGTTAGCTGCTCGAATATCGAATCCCAAAACGGAAGCTGATGAGAAGGAAGGGAGTTTATTTATGAACGAGCTCAACCTGCTAATACATCCTTGCCTTACTTCTCCCTGGTTTCCTTCATTCGTTGAAAAGTGCCAGGGATGGGCGGAAAGTCTGTCTCTGATAAAATAAATGGAATGTCCTTACAGAAAACACATTTACTCCGTGATCGCCTTGAATGCGTCGACGAATCGCTCGGGCTCGTTACACGTAAACTGCGCCACTACCTTACGATGGTGACAATCCCAGGTCACCGGAAGGCTCTGACGCGGTTATTACTCGGAGACCATAACCTCAGTGTTGAACGCCTTCGCTACCCCGTCCGCTATCGCCTTCCAATCCCCCGAGAGAAGCGCCTATGCACGTTTTGCCGTGATGCCATCGAGGACGAGGTCCACGCTCTCCTGGATTGCGTGGGCCTTGCTTCCCTCACAGCGCTACGCGAAGACTTCCTTTCTGATGTTCTTGCTCGCGACTACGCTCTTCGAGCTGCCTATCCATCCGTGTCACACTATGACTTCCTCCGACGGTTGGTTTCCTCTAGGCGGTCGGTTACGCGTTTCGCAAAGTACGTCTTCGAAGTCTTGGACAAGTTTGATTCCTTCATGCGATTCATACCTGTGGGATATCATGTACCGGCCTCTTGATCCCCTTAATCCCGTCTATTGCCTGGTTCCGTGAGAAGTTCTCTTTGTAGTTCTATCGTACCGGGGCTTTGCGTAGATGACTGTAGCATACATTGTGGCTTGTGTATGTAGGTACAGTGCCCGTTTGTTTCCTCAATGGGACCGCTGCGGTAATATACCCTCCTCCTCCTCCTGCATTAATCTTCTTGCACGATCCTTCTTGCACGGGACTAGTTGGAGCTATAAGTTTAAGGCACGGCTGCTCAAGGATCAATGAAAGGCTCTGGTAAGCGAAGATACCGTCTTCGCCGCCACTAGTACTGTAGATCTTTATAATAAAATAAATGTACATACCTCCCAGGCTTCAGGTATAAATGCAACAGAGGGAAATCCTAGTCAAATGAGGGTCCTCGTCCTAGCTCTTGCTTCTCCTCCTGCGTTCAATTGGTGTTGAACCAAATTGATGGTCCGGCCAAGGTCCGACCGGGCCAGATGAACATCGTTCTAAAGCCCACACGGGGCCCATCTATATGATACGAAAGGTCCTCAATGAGAACGAGTGCTCGTTTCTGCTGCCGTCGGACTAAGTATCGCACACGCAAAGTGTTGTGGAGATTCAAGAGAGTTAATTAAACTCGGCATCAGATTCCGTACGACGCGTCAGTGGCAGTGCTTGTCGCCAATCACTGGCGGCTCTATAAATATTGTCGCTTTCGTCTCCCATTTTTCTTTCACTCCACCACCATGTCCCGTCCCGTCAGAGTACCCAAAGCCCCCGAATCGGCCAAACCCCAAACACTGGGCGATTTTCTTGACACGACGCTGAAAACTTATATCTCATCTTCGGACTATAATCCTCCACGATTCCTCCCTACCCTCGGCGTCTCGCTATGGGGTACATTCGCCGCAGCACCACCGGCGGGAGACTCTGTACTGCCGCCCGAACAGGCAGTCCTTCGCAAGGACTACACTCTTATGGGTCGGCAGGTTCTACAAGAAACGGTATTTCGAATCGCTGTTGTCAACAGGGCCAATAAGCCAGCTGGCTTCGCCAGGGTATGAGTTCTCGCAACGCAGTGGCGAGGCGAAGATCACTTACCATGAACACCCGCCGCTTCGTTAGGCTGTTCAAGATGCAGTCCGCCGCCCCACCACACTCCTTGCAATGGTCAAAAAGCTACATCCTCGCTACCAACTCGACGTGACCAAAGTCGACCCAGGACTTTTCGCCTTCATTGGAGCAGCTTGGGCCGATGAAGATTTCAACACCGACAAAATGGTCGAGTGGTTTCAGCCCTTCTTCGAGCCGCTCCTGGACGCCGCAGGAAGAGGTCAGGCGGAGTAGTGTGTTCCTTTTCTGAAATGACGTGGCAATAATCTTTAACGATTCATGCATAGCGAGACGATGTACGGGGGCCCTAAGGAGGCAACTGCCGGCGCACAGATTAGCAGACGTATTCCTGCGGGTGTGTCCACTATCTTTCATTTTGATCTGAGATATGGTCTTCACCCTTGCGCACAGATCTGCAGTTCCTCCTGAATGCGCAGTACGTGCAGCATACCTTCAATTCGTCATCTGTATGTCCACGTTGTCTTGGTCTTTCAATATCATTATTCAGCCACATTCAGCGGGGCAATATCTCGTGCGCCTATGAGGACACGAGCTACGAAAGTAGCTCGATCGAGCGGTCGCCTAAGATCCGGGGCGTCAAAGAGGGCGCGTCCAACGGTGTTCAGAGTCGCGCGAAGGCCTTTGGGTTGCCACTGACACCGGAAGCGCACCGCTTTTCAGAGTACGGATCTTATTCTATTAACGAACAGGAGGTTGACCCTGCCCGCGTACGAAAGATGCCCTCCTCGGCAGAATCTCCGACTGGTTTCTCAGCACCAACCATCAACTCGGACGGGGATGTCGACGAATCGAGCGCGCTCGTTGTTGCGGCCACGTTGGACATACGAGGTGGGCTGGAGCCATCGGTTGGCGGTCTCTTGGCGGCTGCATTTGAAGTGTGTCCATCCTTTATGGCATTCAAATAGCGCAAATACTGACCCGCGTACGCAGTACCAAGTGAAGGAAGAAGGCATGTCCTCCGCCCGGACAAGTCCGTCGTACGTCGCCATCGACGGTTTCTCTCAATTCGTTCCGACCTTGCTTTTCGTTATCCAGAACGACAAGCCCATGAGTTCGTCGCCCGGTGCGGCATGGCAACGGTTCCTGCAGGTGCGCCTCCCCTTCTCTGAATGAACGGGATGTGACCCCGCTGTGTACAAAAGCTCCCATCCCCAGAGGCCGGCCCTCTACCACCCTCGGTGGCCGGTTCTTCGGCGGCTGCCTCCTTCGTCCGTCCATTCTTTGTAGCAGCCAATAGCGTATATACTGACCCGAGTCCGTAGCTCCAGACGGAGACGCACGGCAGGGACAAGGCCCCGCCTCTTGGCCGTTCCCTCGTACGTCGTCATTTGCTGTTTCTCTGAAGTCGTTCTGATATTGCTTTTCGCTATTTAGGATGTGCTTATGGGGTCATCGCCTGGTCCGGAAGAGTCGCCTTCGAATGGGGGTCTCTGCCCGACATGTCAGCGCCCTGTTCGACGTCCGCTCACTCCCCTCAATGGTAAGGAGTCGGTACGAGTAGAGAGTCCAGGCGGTGTGTGAGGCTAGGGACGATGGACGACTTGGATCAAGAGGTTTGGCATGCACACGGAAATTGCATCGACCATTGTATTTGTATGTAGCTGTTAGTATAGTCTGTATATTTCCCGTATTGTGTATCCAGCTAATGATCTACATGTAATTGCGTAGCCCATGATTTGGCAGCACTATCCGGTTATGAGCGTGCAGACCGCAAACCAAGGGGAATAAGCATACCAAAGTCAATGGGCACTCCGTCAGACTCTGCTGCGACGCGCACTGTCTGTGCCAGTGAGCGTTCAGAGGTGTGCAGGCGCTAACTTGACTAACACGAGCCTTAGTGTAGTCCAGCGGGGATACAATACTATCTGCAGGGCGCTCACGCGTCACTAAACGAACGGGGGATATAGATGTGATACGCACCGGAGAGAATACTGAGAGCCACGGGCAGGTTCCCTTCAGGACACCATGATCGGCCTCAGACATGTCACCACCATCAGGTCCTTGAAGGGGATGAACTCCCGCAGGTCTGAGATCCGCACCCTGTCGTCCGCCCGGTTTCTCACCTACGCCAAGTCAGCGGCCGAATTACGAACAGCGAAAGGAAGGACTCACGAAACAGCTTAACGTTGTTCGAAGCCTGGGACTTGGTCAGTGCAGGAAGTAACAACGACGCAGACTATCCCGGGGACTCCTCATCGATATTTCATGATCCCAGTAGTGAAAGAAAGTGCCAATACGCCAGAGTTTGCCACCACAAGGATTCCAGGATGGTAACTTTGAGCACGTTGTAGCCAGGCTCCGTCTGAGACCGAACGCAAGCAAGACATGGAAAGAACAACACATATGTTCCTGCCAGTGTACGCTCTATTGAGCTTCTCGGGGTCCAGTTGGGCGAGCACTTGAAGGGTATGATGTAGGCCCAGCCTCCCCTTGGGCTCTTCTGGTGCGTATTGTGGAGCTGTTCAAAATGCGTATCTATGCTAGTAGAATTTAAGCGTACGATGTCTTCAAGGTTCCGAACGTCCGCCTTCAATTCGTGCCATAGACACAAATGCAGGACGGTCGCAAGCCATCGACGTTTATCGGCGTCCTGAAGCGCAGGTGCATCTATTTGCCCAGGCGCTGCTGTGCCCTGTCGTCCGCAGTACCGACGTGTGCGCTGCTTGTTGTCATTCTGAGAAACTTGAGTGAAATTTGCGTGTCATTGCATGAGTAGGACCAGCCGGGTTCGTTCCAATTGGAACAACGATGAGGTGAGTTGTGAGGGCGGGCGGTTCCTCGCTCTGAACACCCCTTGCAAAAAAAAGAAATTGTCCGAGTTGTGAGGGGGCGGGGGAAAAGAGAGGTCAACTTGAAGTTTCGGTGAGCTGGTGGGAGCGGTAGAGGACAAAAGATGGTTCTGTAGGCTGGAGCCCAACCAAGAACCCAGCCAGCAGGTGATGGACGAGTCTAAAACCACGGTCGGAGTTTGCCGAGGTTGTCCCATTTGGGTCTCTCATCTTCCCTTTTCAAGTCGTTCGTCAAACTGGACGCCAAGAAGCTCAATAGAGCCCACATGAACCGCTATACTTTTATTTTCGTGCCTTAATTGCGTTAAGCTGGGTCCGGTACAATGTGCTCAAAGCTTCAAAGGATCGGCACCGTCCTGGATTCTTATCCCGACAAACTCTGGCTA